AGTCTAATAGGAAAAAAGTACTGGTAAGATCCACTGCTGTGCCTAAGGGACTCATCCCTCTCAACTTCTTCCCACCAGGGGCAGAGGTTAGAAGGTCTTCTGCTTTCATACTAATGGTAGGAGAACTCGACACGTGCCTAGCCTTGTGTCTAGGCTTCTGAGCTCACAATCAAATGTCAAGAAGCAGATAGGCCAGGCATAGTGGCTCACGCTATGCCATCTAATCCCAGCACTTTGGGAGGCCAAGGCGGGAGGATCACCTAAGGTCAGGAGTTCAAGGCCAGCCTGGCCAACATGGCAAAACCCCATCTCTACTAAAAATACAAAAAAATTAGGCAGGTGTGGTGGAGCATGCCTATAATCTTAGCTACTTGTGAGGCTGAGGCACGAGAATCGCTTGAACCCAGGAGATAGAGGCTGCAGTGAGCTGAGATTGCACGACTGCACTCCAGCCTGGGTGACAGGGTGAGACTCCATTACCAAAAAAAAAAAAAAGTATATAAATAATGGCTCACCTACCTATCCCTACTAACAACTTCATTTTCAGCTTAACCCTTGGGACTCTGTTTCCGAAAAAGACCCTAGGCCATCTAATCTGGACTCAGTCACTTAGCCATTATGACAACAAAAATTGAAGTCACTCTCAGGACCCCTCCAGGGTGGATCAGGATCAAACCAGATTCCTTAATCAGCACTCATCTGCACTTCTAGGTCTAGATGGAAAGCTAATTATTCTGTTTCAACAAAATGCATTCAGCTTAATGTGAAACTACCATATAGACTGTCTAGTTAGCTGTGCTCAGACAATAACAACAGCTGGCTATTCTATCTCACGTGATTGCAAATGAAAATGTCCATGCCCCAACTGCCTCATCTGAACCACTTTTCTCCCCTTTTCAGGCAAGAAAGGAGCCCAGAGGCTACTGCTGCTAGCTCTGCCCTTGGTGCTGAATCATAGCCTTTCTCCTCTATTCTGATCTCAGGCTCAGAATCAGTAATCCAATACATACAGATGAGTCCTTGTCCTACTATACATTACGGAGGCCATGAATTAGAGGCAGAAATGCTAGAGTTTCTGCAAGGACAGGGAGAGGTGCTCAGAGAAATGTCTAAACTATGTTCTAAAATTAGGAAAAGCTTTCATGGTCTTAATTATAATTTATTTCCTGTAAAGTGTCTATACACTTCTCTAAATAAAACATTTTACCCCACTGCAGGGCTATTTCTAGCAGGGCTATTTCTTCTACAGGCAGAAGTTCTTTTCTCATATTCCTAGTGTTCCAGGATTCTACCTCTGTGCTCTGCATGTGGCCTTACTAAGACCTTGTTCATTGCACACAGAGAGACTCCCATCACAGTATACACATACATACACACACCCACCCCCTACTCCCTCACCTGCTGCTGTGGGCACTCCCATATATACAGACATACACACTCCCTGGATGCTTAAGGCCCTACCCTGGTTCAGGTAATGAGTAGAAGTTCTTTCTTCTCCTCTACCTAATGATAAACAAGACTTATTTACAATACCTCTCAAATCCTCAAAATACTGCTTCCTCTTTTCCTGAGCTCCCAATAGAGGACCAGCAGGTAATAGGATTCAGTCTTATCTCCATAGCGACTCTGGCTCCCAGCTCTATTTATAGCAGAGCCACAGCCCCTCCCCTGCTTGGTGACCGCACAGTGCTAGCAGCTGCTACTCCAGAGTCAGCCAAGGCCCGTAACAATTCATTCTCCTTGAACCTAGAGACACCTCTCCCACTGACAGTACCTGCTAAGAATTAGGTTATCTTCTTCCTCAAGTGTCAGTAGTTCCTACTTTGCCCTAATTCTGGCTTTTGATAGTGATATCTCTACACCACCAGGTTTCCGAGCACACCATATATTCATTTCTAGGCATCACCACTGCTTAAGGAACCCAAACAGTCCCTTGGTTCTCCGAACTGCAACAGAGTCGTAAGCAAACTGCAGGAGGTGGGGCACCATAACAGAGCTGCGCTCAGCTCCTCCTGAGCAGAGTGCAACGGGGAGAAAAACAGAGAAATGAAATAGGCTATAAGTAAAAAGCATAATTTGTTCTAATAAAGAATTACGTAGTTAATCTGTCACAGGATTAAAAAAAAATTATGTAGAGATGACTAAAGTGAAAGCCAAAGTATCTTAAAGTAAAACAGAATTTACAGAAGACTACCTCTAGGCTAAACCTTGCAATCTGGATTTACATTGAAAACCAGGAGCCCACTCCAGCCAAAATCTCAAAGATCAGGCCTGAAGCACCTCCTACTAAGACAGTATGCGTCAGGCCTCTCTGGCCTTGGTGGGATCTCAGCCCCTCTCCATTGAGAACTATCTGATGAAACTAATGTCTTTCACAGTCCTCATCTCCTTCCAGAGCCACAAGGACCCTGATATCTTATTATTCTAGCTATGGGTGGTAGGAAAGATTTTGAGCCAGAATTCATATCTGATCAGCAGCCACTGCGTTCAGATTCAGATTGCAAAGATAACTAAGATTTCTTCTTCTCATTCTCTCCTCTCCCCTCCCCACAAAGACTAACACCTCTAACTCTTCTAACATCACCCACAACAAACACTCTGTCTTCACAACCAACGAGACTCAGACTCTGCTTCTTGCCTCAACCACATTTACTAACATAGAGCCTCTAGCTCCTATCTTCATGCATTCCAAAAGCATCAAGCTCAAAATGCATACTTATCTGCTGAAGTCCGACATCACCATCCGCTCCACCCAGAGGTAGATTTAGGATTCACAAACTTTTAGGTTACCTATGCCTTTTCAGCCAAAATGGCCATGCTAACCAACCCTTTGGATTCGTCCCTCGTTTTGTATAGGATCTCATAGTAAAACCACAGGAACCAGAGAGCGATATGACATATCTGCTGACGTGAGCAAAACAGCAGGCTCTCCTCCCCTCTTCTCCCTCCCCAGGCAGTGACCTTGCAAGCTCATCAGCACAGACTGGTCCAGCGTGGGGGAGAACTGGAGCAAAGAGGCTGGCAGCTGGCAGGGTTAGGGAAGAGGGGAGGGCAGGGAAAGGTGGAAGAAGGTAGATGATACACACGAGGATGGGGAGGAGAGCGTCTGCAGAAAGATGAAACGGTGTTTTCACTCTCCAGGAAGTCAATTTTGAAACAACAAATTTAAAAAGAAAAACATTTTTTTTTTTTTTTTTTTTTAAGAATCAAACGTGGTTCTCCAAATTCTAGCCAAAAATAAGGCTCACGCGAGCAAACGCACACGCGTACCCGCCAAGTGCTGTGCGAGCTCGGGCCCCGTGGCTGGCCAGCTCTGCCCGCCCCCTCACCTGCTGGACAGTTCTCTCCCGCCCCCGCCCCAACCCGAACCCGAACCCGAACCCGAACCCGAACCCGAACCCGCGCCGCCCGCCCAGCAGAAACCGAGCCCCGCAGCCCGAGCCCCTTCTTCGGCCCGGGCGCCCCCAGCCCCAGCCCCGCCCCCTCCTCCGCGGACCCCCGTCCCACGCCCTTTTACACTCCCGCGGGGCATCCTCAGAGACCCCCTTCCTCCAACAGCCGCGGTGTCCTCTCAGAGCCCATCTCCCGCTCGGAGTCCCCAAACGCTCGCCCAGGACCCCCACCGGCCCGGACTCTCCTACCTCCCGAGCTCCAGGGGACTGGCCAGGCCAGGCCCGATGTCCCCCGCGCGGCGCCTTTCCGAGCGGGCGCCAGTTCCGCGTCTGCACCTGGGGGCGCGCACCACTAGCGCAGGGTGCGGGCGGAGGGGGAGCCGGGGCAGGGCCGTACCATTCAGCCCGGGGGGTCGGGGCTGCGCGAAGCCGAGCGCCGCGGGGTGGGACCGACCTCGGGAGACAGCGGCTGCGCACACACCTAGCCGGGCGCCCGTGGGCGCGGGAGGGCGCGCCGGGCCGGCCCAGCGCCGACGCGTGCCAAGGGGAGGACATACAGCAGTACCTTCTGTTTGGGTTGCTCAGAGAGACTTTCGCCTTACGGGGTCATAGCGCCCGTTTCGATAAATTGTGGATTCCTCTGAAAGTGACTTCCCAAGATAGTCGACCCCTGAGACTTCCTGAGGGCCTCCCCATCCTCCAGCTCCCCCCCTCACGCGTTTTGGCGGTGTCCGGCGCCCGGGCTGGGAAGCCGGCTGTAGCGCGGTGGAGCCTACCAATCCTGGGCGACGGGGGCGCAGCGGGGCGCGCGGCCGCGGTTACCTCCACCGCGTGCGCGCCAGGAGGGGGCGTGGCAGCGCCGCGGCGCCCGCTGGGAGATGGAGTCCAGTCCCTTCCCGAGGCCAGCCAGCTGCAGGACAGCCTCCTTGCGGCCGCACGGCTCTTCTCCTCATGCCACGGGGTCTGGGTGCCGAAACTGGGCACTGGGTCTTTCAGGTTGTGTCTTTTTCATATGCCAAAGGAAAAACTAAGGCATGCTACACACGCACGTGAAGTGCACCCTGAGGTTTTAGCTCTGAAATACAACACTTCCTACTCCCCCGCAGAAAGGCTGCGGGATCCCACCTGGATCCCAGCAGGGGAAGGGCGTGCCTAAGCCTCTGCATTCCATTTACCCGTATGGCATAGTGGGGGTTAGTAAGAAGAGGCCCTGTCTCACGACCAAGGTTGTCACTTGGGACTCTCCTTCCTCTGGTCTTGGAGGTGGATCCTAAAGATCGAAGGCTTCCCCCTCTACTGCCGTGTCCCCACCCCCAAACCAGAAATTGGCTTCTCTCATTTTGTATTCATTTTGATCTTCCTGTTCAAACAGTACCAGACCTATCAGTGAGGCGGCCCTGAGGCATTTATGGCCATACCACAGAATGACAGTGGAGAATTTTTCTTGGGGCCTTGTGGGGAAAACAGGAAGTGGTGGAGGCAGAATGGGCAGGGCCCAGGAGAACCTTGTGCAAAGTGGCCCCCAGGCCCATCCGTTTGTGGGGTCAATGTGGTCTTCAGACACAGCACGGCGTTAGCCGGCGCCCCACTGCTCAGCAGCCACAAAACTCCGAACCTTCTGACTCTCTTTAATCTCCTTGCCCAGCTCCTAGGAATGTTTGCCCTTCTCAGTCGGTTTCACTTCTAGGAGGCAGCCCCTGAGCCTCAGCCATCTAGCCCAGAAAACAGAAAACTATGGGGAAAGAACAGTCATTCGTGCACATCCCAGATCTCAGAGAGCAGCGGTGGGAGCTTCTTGTCCTGCAGGCGCAGTGCAAACACTTGCTCTGAGTGGACGCTACTCAGGGTCCGGAGGCTCACCAGTTTCATCAGCATTCGTGGAAACATCAGTCGGTCCTGGGGAAAGAAGAGAGATTCAAGCACAGCTTTTGCCTGTCCCCAGGGAAGTGAGGCAAAGGTAGGGGAATTGTGGGAGAGGTGAATTGCCTGCACATCATGTGGTCAGAGTAGTTCTTGAAGGGAAAGCAGGTATGTCAGGCAACGGGCCTGTGCGTGGAAAGGAGGAAAAAGGGCACCATGGGGAGACTCACATGGGGATGGTGGATGGTGACGTATGCATGCAGGGCTTCCACATATGTGTGCTGCAGCCTCTCTACCTGGAGCTGGTCCTGCACGTTGGGCCGGTCTATGGGTCACCAAGAGAGTTGAGGAGCAGGTCTGGCCAGGGTCCAGATCCATACCCCAAATTGCAACCAAAAAAATAGAGACGTGCTCCAGCCAACCTCTCCCATTTCAAAATAACACAGCAAATGCCTCCACCCTCCCAACCCACCCCTCGATTCCTGTGGGCCTGCAGCCCTCCTTGGTGCAAGCCTCTTGCTGTTTCCCGTTGCCCCTCTTCCACACCTGCAGAGAAGATGCTGATGGCAATGAGCAAAGCAAACTCGGCATCATTGAGTTGCAGCTCATTCATGGCCCTGGAGAACTCAAAGATGGGGTTGATGAATTCCACTTGCAGCCCTGGGGAGGAAGAAGGGAGGCTGATGCCTGCAGCAGGAGCAGCAGAAACTTCCTTGCCTAAGGCCTCACCTTAGGAAACTACTAGGAACTCACTAAGAAGTCTACAGAGGGGGCCGGGCATGGAGGCTCACTCCTGTAAATCCAAGCACTTTGGAGGCCAGGGCGGGCGGATCACCTGAGGTCGGGAGTTCGATACCAGCTTGACCAACATGGTGAAACCCCGTCTTGAAAAAAAAAGAAGTAAAAATAAAGAAGTCTACAGAGGGCCAGGCATGGTGGCTCAAGCGTGTAATCCCAGCACTGTGGGAAGCCAAGGTGGGTGGATCACCTGAGGTTAGGAGTTCCAGACCAGCCTGGCCAACATGGCAAAACCTCATATCTACTAAAAACACAAAAACTAGCCAGGCACGGTGGCAGGTGCCTGTAATCTCAGCTACTTGGGAGGCTGAGGCAGGAGAATCACTTGAACCTGGGAGGTGGAGGTTGCAGTGAGCCAAGATCACTCCACTGCACTCCAGCCTGAGTGACAGACCGAGATTCCGTATTAAAAAAAAAAAAAAAAAAAAGGCCGGGAACGGTGGCTCATGGCTATAATCCCAGCACTTTAGGAGGCCAAGGGGGACGGATTACCTGAGCTCAGTAGTTTGAGACCAGCTTGGGCAACACAGTGAAACCCCATCTCTACTAAAAATACAAAAATTAGCTGGGTGCCTGTGGTCCCAGCTACTTGGGAGGCTGAGGCAGGAGAATTGCTTGAACCTGGGAGGTGGAGGTTGCAGTGAGCTGAGATTGTGCTACTGCACTCCAGCCTGGGTGACAGAGCAAGACTCCAGCTCCAAAATGAAAAAAAAAAAAAAAAGATTCTGTTTTCAGCAGCGCACAGTGACTCACACCTGCAGTCCTAGCTACTCAAGGCTGAGGCAGGAGGATCACTTGAGCCCAGAAGGTCGAGGCTGCATTGAGCCATGATCACCACTGTGTTCAGCCTGGGTGACAGAGTAAAACCTTGCTTCAAAGAAAAAAAAAAAACAAACCATTTTTAACTGGCGTTGGCATTACTTATTTGAACACCAGAGACACATTTCATGTATCACATCCTAGAGGGAATACTGCAGCGTGGGTGAGACTCTGGTACCAGACTGTCTGGGGTTGAGTTATGGCTCTGCCACTTACGAAGAAGTTATTTAACCTCTCTGGGCTTTGGCTTTCCCATCTGTAAAATGGGAATAATAATAGTACCTATCATAAACATGTGGCATATATGGTAACTACCACATAAGTGTTTGTAAAATTAATAATTCATGTTTTTTGAGATAGAGTCTCGCTCTGTCTCTAGGCTGGAGTGCAGTGGCGCGATATTGGCTCACTGCAACTTCTGCCTCCTGGGTTCAAGCAGTTCTCCTTCCTCAGCCTCCCGAGTAGCTGGAATTACAAGCATGTGCCATCACACCCAGATAATTTTTGTATTTTTAACAGAGACAGAATATCACCATGTTGGCCAGGATGGTCTCAATCTCTTGACCTCGTGATCTACCCTCCTTGACCTCCCAAAGTGCTGGGATTACAGCCATGAGCCACTGCACCCAGCCAATAAATAATGATTTTTTAATGGAAATAGTCTTTAAAATGCAACAAACCATGATCTAAAGTCATGACACCTAGAGAATACTTTCTCATACACATTGTCAAATTCTCTGCACCCTACACTGTTCCCCAGGCTTTGTCAGATTTCTTTTAGCGACCATCTGCTACATTTTTCCATTCAAGGCTTCTTGGTTAGTCATTTCCTGTACTTTCACCCTGATGTTTATCAAGTGTGTGTGTGTTAGTCCATTTAATGGGTGGGCCCCATTTTCTTTTCTTTTCTTTTTTTTGAGACAGAGTTTTGTTCTGCCACCCAGGCTGGCTCGATCTCTTCTCACTGCAACCTTGGCCTCCTGGGTTCAAGCGATTCTCCTGCCTCAGCCTCCCAAGTAGCTGAAACCACAAGCGTGTGCCACCTCACCCAGATAATTTTTCTATTTTTAGAAGGGACAGGGTTTTACAAAGTTGGCCAGGCTGGTCCTGAACTGCTGACCTCAAATGATCCGTCCGCCTCAGCATCCCAAAGTTCTGGGATTACAGGTGTGAGCTACTGTACCGCACCTGGCGGCAAGCCCCATATTCTTTTTTTTGAGTCAGAGTCTCACTTACTCTGTTGCCCAGGCTGGAGTCTTGGCTCACTGCAACCTCCACCTCCCAGGTTCAAGGGATTCTCCTGCCTCAGCCTCCCAAGTAGCTGGAATTACAGGCATGTGCCATCACACTTGGCTAATTTTTGTATTTTTAATAGAGATGGGGTTTCACCATGTTGGCCAGGCTGGTCTTCAACTCCTGACCTCATGATCTGCCCATCTCAGTCTCCCAAAGTGCTGGGATTACAGGCATGAGCCACTGCACCCAGCCTGCAAGCCCCATTTTCTAAAGCATTTCTTGGTGAAGATTTGAGCCCCAAAGTGTGGCAAACAGCCCCCTTTATACAGAAATTAAGAAAAGATTCTACAATTGGCTAATGCACCTGTAAGGGTCTGCTGATGCTTGCAGAATGGACACCTCAAATGTGCTCAGCCCATGTCACCAGTCATCTACCGTATGCAGTAATAGTAGTGGATAGAGAGAGGAGGAGGCCTGACAAACACAGCTCCTGTTTCCTTCTTCCCAAAACTTCACTCGTGAAATAAGAAATGAAAGGCAAACATGATGACATCAAAACTGCTTATACAAATAAATCTATAAATAGGTACAGATTCAGATAGCACAAGTCTATGAGTACCAAAGGAATACAGAGATATTAGAACTGGGCAGAATTCCAAAAGGAGGATATTCTAAAGGAGAGGAGAGCCATGGTTAAGAAGATCTAAGATAGGGCAGGGCGCAGTGGCTCATGCCTGTAATCCCAGCACTTTGGGAGGCCAAGGCAGCCGGATCATGAGGTCAGGAGATTGAGATCATCCTGGCCAACATGGCGAAATCTCTTCTCTACTAAAAATACAAAAATTAGCTGGGCGTGGTAGCGAGTGCCTATAATCCCAGCTACTCGGGAGGCTGAGGCAGGAGAATTGCTTGAACTCGGGAGGCAGAGGTTGTGGTGAGCCAAGATCACGCCATTGCACTCCAGCCTGGCAACAGAGCGAGATTCTGTTCCCCCCCCACAAAAAAAGCTGGGCTTTAAACCTGGATAAAGTCATTAAATTACCCCATTAGGTGCCAATACATGCGGACAGCACACTGGGCAGTACAGAAGGCAAGAGGTGCCAACATAGCCCTGTCAAGCCCTGGCCCTGTCGTGCCCTACAGCAAAGGGAGGCCTTCCTAGAAAGCTCTCTGGGTGGGCCTGTGCTGGGAGAGGGAGATATAAGAAGCACATGAGCTGGTCTGAGTCATCAGAAACCAGGGAAGGCTTGATGACTGGCCTGGCCACAGACATACCAGTCCTGAGAATGGAGTCATGGCATCAGCCATATTTTATAGCCCCACTTATCCAGTTGTTAAGCTACTTGGTTTCCTGCTGAAGCTCAATTCCAGTCCCTCCAAAACTCCCTCAGCCTTCCATCCTTTCCCAGGCCAGTTCTGATCACACAAACATTGCCAATAGTTGAATATGAAGAAACCCCTTCTGCATAGCTCCCAAGCGAGCATCAGCTAGAGAGCCACAGTGTGAACTAACTCTTGGAGAAAATACTTCAGACACAGAGTGGGGATGGAAGCATTTGCTCTTATTGTACATCCCCTCTGGGCATGTTTGCCATGCCGTGGTTCCAGTTCGTCAGAAAGTGCAATTGAAAAAGAGTAGGGGAGACCCAGTGTGGTGGCTCATGCCTGTACTCCCAGCACTTTGGAAGGTCGAGGCGGGTGGATTGCTCGGGCTCGGGAGTTCGAGACCATTTCAGGACCAGCCTGGGCAACATGACAAAACCCATTCTCTATAAAAAATATAAAAATCAGGCCGGGTGGGGTGGCTTATGCCTGTAATCCTAGCACTTTGGAAGGCCGAGGTGGGTGGACCCATTGAGGTCAGGAGTTCAAAACCAGCCTGGCCAACATGGTGAAACCTCATCTCTACTAAAATTACAAAAAATTAGCTGGGCATGGTGGTGGATACCTGTAATCCCAGCTACTTGGGAGGCTGAGACAGGAGAATCACTTGAACGGGTTGCAGTGATCGTGCCATTGCACTCCAGCTAGGAAACAGAGCGAAACTCTGCCTAAAAAATATATATTTTATATATAGTATATACTTTGTTTATATATTTGTTGTATATTATATGTTATTTATTAAATATATTTTTATTTATATATATTTAATAAATATATACTATATATATATATATAAAATAAATTAGCCGGGCGTTGTGGTGTGTGCCTGTATTCCCACCTACTTGGGGGGCTGAGGCAGGAGAATTGCTGGAGTCCAGGAGGTTGAGGCTGCAGTGAGCCATGTTCATGCCACTGCACTCCAGCCTGGGTGACAGAGCAAGAACTTGTCTTAAAAAAAATAATAATAATAGGGGAAATCAGCCCCCATGATCCCCAAAGAGCACATGTGAGGAAGATTAGTTCATTTTCTGACTACTAAAAGGTTCAGTGCAGCGAGTTTCAAACCTTTTTTTCAAGCTATAAAATCTGCAAGCAAAATATTATGTAGCAGTGCAATATATAACGCAGATTTAAATGGAGCTTCTTGTTTGGCTAAAGTAAGAATGGAGGACATTTCTGTGCCTCCCTGTTTCTCCTCCAAGGTGCCATTTCCATAAATCCCTCAGGTTCCTTGGAACACAGTTTGAAAACTACTGACCTGAAGCAACAGAAGACAGGGGTCTATCTGGAGCAGATGAGAGAAGCCTGTAAGCATTCCAATTTTCCATCTTCAAAAAACAAGGGGAGCCTTTCCTTACCAGCCACCCAAACATTGGACCCGTGGCTCTGTAGTCACTATGAGCCTATGACATAAAGCACCAGTCCTGGCCAGGCTCAGTGGGATTACATCCCTGTAATCCCAGCACTTTGGGAGGCTGAGGCAGGTGGATCACTTAAGGTCAGGAATTCAAGGCCAGCCTGGCCAACATGGTGAAACCCTGTCTCCTCCAAAAATATAAAAATTAGCCAAGCATGGTGGTGCACACCTGTAATCCCAGCTACTTGGGAGGCTGAGGCAGGAGAATTGCTTGAACCCAGGAGGTGGAGGTTGCAGTGAGCTGAGATTGCATCACTGCACTCTAGTCTGGGTGACAGAGCGAGACTCTGTCTCAAAAACAACAGCAAAAACAACAACAGCAATAACAAGGTGTCGTGGGTGGCTCACGCCTGTAATCCCAGCACTCTCGGAGTCCAAGGCAGGAGGATCAAATGAGGCCAGGAGTTTGGGACCAGCCTTGGCAACATAGTAAGACACCATCTCATTTTTTACAAATAAAAAAGAAGCACCTGTCCATCCAAGCCCAATCCCTGTGTGATCTCAGTTCTCACCTGCTTTAGCAAAGTCTTCCCGGTTATAACTGAAATCCTTGAGGAAGGTGATACTCTCACTCCCAGGGTTGTACCTCCGAGATGTCTCCAGAAGCATCACCTGCACACAAGCAGCAGATCTCAAACGGGGATGAGGAGGGCTGGTCTTGGAGCATGGCCCCTTCCAGGGAGGCCGATTCCCCTCATCCCTGCTTCCCAGCAGATCTGGCTCTCCCAGCTCGATGTCTGGAGGCCCTCCCACAGATAATCCCACTCTGCTTCTCCCTTCATCCCTCGCCCTTCTCCAGCCACCTCGATCGCAGAGGTCTTTAGCAGGGCAATCTGGTCCTCCCGGCTGAGCTGCAGGAAGCCAGGAAGCTGTTTAGCAAAGTCAACTATCTCCTGCACAGAGACGATGGCCAGCTCAGTGAAGTGGGCAAAGCGCTGCTGACGGGCCTCCCGGCTGTGGGGGTCTGGTGCCATGGGCCAAGGCTACCCAGGAGGAAAAAGGCAAAGCGCTTTGAGTCGAACATCAAGAAGCCCACTGGTGATCTGGGCGCAGCCACCTCTCCCCAGATGTGTCAAGTACCGTGACTCGAAGCTGGTCAGAAAAGGAGCGCCGGTTACACTGCTGCTGGGCAGCAACCAGCTTCTCGATCATGCCCAGTTGCTCTGGGCTGAGCTGGGGCAGGATCTGGGGGGGTGAGGAAGCCCTGAGGGGCAGGGACGTGGCATGAGCCTGTTCCTCCTCCTGCCGCTTCAGTTTCTTCAGGCGGATCTGTTCTTCTGACAGGACACCTAAGGACAGGGCCAGATGTGAAGAGGGGTGCAGACAGGGAGACAGGAAGCAAGAAGGGGGCAGAAGGGGCGGTTTGGGGCCCAAGAAAAGCAGACAGCACTGGGAAAAGGGAAGAAGATTTTTTTTTTTTGAAATGAAGTCTCACATTCACCCAGGCTGGAGTACAGTGGCATGATCTCAGCTCACTGCAACCTCCACCTCCAAGGTTCAAGTGATTCTTCTGCCTCAGCCTTCTGAGTAAGTAGGATAATACAGGCACATGCCACCACACCCGGCTAATTTTTGTATTTTTAGTAGAGGCGACAGGATTTCACCATGTTGGCCAGGCTGGTCTCAAACTCCTAACCTCAGGTGATCCACCTGCCTTGGCCTCCCAAAGTGCTGGGATTACAGGTGTGAGCCACTGCTCCCGGTCAAGAAAGATATTTTAATCCAAACTTAGGGACCGGTTAGCCCCGGCAAGTTCAGGCACCTGTCTGCGGTCACACCCTGGCTCCCTCTTTCCCCTCAGCCTCTTCCCCACTCCAGCCCCAGAAACTCACACTCCTCCCGCATGCCAGCCTGGCGGCATTTGCGCAGCCGACACTCCTGGCACTTGCGACGCATATAGGTGTCCATGGGGCAGTGGCCGCCGCTGTGGCAGACATAGCGCGCTCCCTTGATGACACTGCGGCGGAAGAATCCCTTGCAGCCCTCGCAGCTCAGAACGTTGTAGTGGAAACCGGAGGCCTTGTCCCCACACACGCTGCATAGCTCGTTCCCCAGCATTTTGGGGGCTGGCCCCTTTTTCCGCTTTTGTGGACGGAGCTCTGGAGACAGGAAAGTGCCTCAGTGCTCTCCCCAGAGGAAAGAACTTCCTGTTCTCCCTGACTCAGCCACTGCCTTGGGCACTCAGTGACCTCCATTCCCTTGAACTCCAGTTTCTCTTTTATGAGAACAGTAGCCCTCATTTGCCAAGTGTCATTATGTTCTAGGTACTGTATGACCCTTTTATATACATTGATCCTTATGAAAAACATACATTTTATTTATTTATTTATTTATTTTGAGACTGAGTCACTCTCTTGCCCAGGCTGGAGTACAGTGGTGTGAGCTCTGCTCACTGCAACCTCCACCTCCCAGGTTCTCCTGCTTTAGCCTCTTGAGTAGCTGGGACTACAGGTATGTGCTACCACGCCTGGCTAATTTTTTGTATTTTTAGTAGAGATGGGGTTTCACCGTGTTAGCCAGATGGTCTCGAGCCCCTGACCTCATGATACGCTCGCATCAGCCTCCCAAAGTGCTGGGATTACAGGTGTGAGCCACCACGCCTGGCCCATAATTTTTATTTACATTTTATAAACAAGGAAATTGAGGCTCAGAAAGGCCTAAAGTAGAGACAAAATTCACACTTCGATCAGTCAGATTTAGTTAGCTCGAAAGCTTTTGGACTTAACCATGAAATTATATATAAGGTAAAAACCCCCAAGGAACCTCTTCCAGATCCAAGGAACCTCTTCCAGATCCTACCTCCTCCAAGCCCAGAAGCTCCTCACCTGAGTGTTCTGAAGGGGGCTCTGCCCTGGTGAGCAGGGCTGTGGGCTCTGCAGCCTCCAGCCCCACCCCTGCAGTGCCCCCAGCAGAGTGGGCCATCCTGGCTTCCTCTCTGAGGATGCAGCTGCTGCCTCCCTGGGCCTGGCTGCTTGCATCCTGTGTGCCTGGTTTCCACAGCGCCACTGCAGAGTCTGAGCTCCAAAAGAGAGGCACAAGGGGGTCTCAGGCCCCATCCTGGCTCCCCTGTCCAGTGTTCTAGCTGGGAAACTGCAAGCTTATCCCCACCCTTAGAGGGCAGCAAAGTCCCAGCTCAGGCTTTGGGACCCTAGGATCCATGTGCGCTCTAGATAGGACTAGTTACTTGTTTCTTACATCTCAAGCCCTTAACGAAGATATTAACCCTTGTCCCTTTGTGGGGCTGGAATGTATACATTTCAGAGGTCAGACAAAACTCTTTAAAGCCAGAGCAGAGTAAGCACTCAGCTGGCCAGCTCTCTCCAGCAGCAAGCCCAGATTAGGGAGGACTGGGCGTGTGACTGCAAAGACCAGGCAGTGGAACCAGGGGAGAGGTGACCTGGGAGGCAGGCAAGCACCACTAAGAATGACTCTGGACTGCTCTCTGGAGGAGGGAAGAAGGCAGGTAATGAAGGAGGCTGATTCCTACAGGAGGCGAGGAGCCTGCAGTCTGGGCTCAGGGGATAGGGCTGGAATGAAGCTTACCAGGAGGAATGTCAGGCACAGGGGCCCCCAGCCACAAGGACATCTCTTCCTGGAGTCCTGGTCATTACCAAGGCACTGCCCTGCAGGAAGGACCCAGGTTATACTCTTCTAGAACTGGGCTCCTTTCTGGCCTCAGCTCCCTTCTCCACCTGACCCTCCCTTTTATCAGTACCAACAATATCAGCTAACATTTACTTGCTATATATTAGCCTATACTAAGGATTTATTGCATTACTATTATGTTTTTAGAGACAGGGTCTCCCTATGTTGCCCAGGCTGGTCTAGGAACTCCTTGGCTCAAGTGATCCTCCCACCTGGGCCTCCCAAAGTGTGGGGATTACAGGAGTGAACCACTGCACCCAGCCTGTTATAAACTTTATATGCTTTCCTCATAATATCTCTCTGAAGTCAAGACTATTTTTTTTTTTTTGAGATGGGGTCCCTCTACGTTGTCCAGGCTAGAGCTCAGCGCTATTCACAGGTGTAATAATAGTGCATTATCACCTCAAACTACTGGGCTCAAGCAATCAGCTTCCTGAGTAGCTGAGATGATAGGCTCATGCTACTGCTCCCGGCTCAGGAAGATTCTTAAACCCATTTTACAGGTGAGCAAACTGAGGTTCAAAGAGATTAAGTAACTATGGTCACACAGGCAGCAGTAGAGTCAAGACTCCAACCCTGCTCTGACTCCAAAGTCTGGGCTCCCAGATGCTGTGCCAGCCTTTCTCCCCCAAAGTGCCCTCCAGGCCAGCAGGGAATATTTGGGTACATCTGCCCTGCTTCTCTCGGCCCCTTCCCCCTCACTGCAACACTGAGGACAGCCAGAGTTGAGCAGGACCAAGAGACAGGATCAAAGCTCACTCCACCCAGTGAAATACGCTGCTTATTAGAGACCCTCACTCGAGCCACTTTCCAGGGTCCCAGCACAAACCACTTGTCTCCAAGAATCTCCCCAATTCACATGGAGGACCTCCTCCCCCGGAACCCCTCATGAGTTATTCTGGGACCCAGAGTCCTGTTCCTGTCCCAAGCTCCCATCACGATCACCCCTCACTTTTCCCCAGAAACCCCCTTTTCAGATCCTTAGGACATTCCCCTACCCCACCCCAGATACAGAGCCCCAGGCCACTGCTAAGGAGCAGACCCACCGAATCCCCAGGCCACCAGACTTCCTGGGTGGGCAGTCTCTGGAGCCCCCTTGCTGGGAGAAGAGGATGGTGCAGTTCCCTGTCCAGAGGCCTTGGTGGCCAGCCGGCGAGCTGGAGCTGAGCACAAGCGGGACCTGGAACCCCAGGGAAGTAGCAGTTTGGGGAAAGGCTGAGAGGAGGGACTGCCAAGGGGTCGGGCCACCCCTCCTTCCTGCCTGGCGACCGGAGCCCTCCCCTCCTCACCCCGCCCACAGGGCAGCTTCTCCATCAGGTTGGCTCCTCCCCAGCAGGCCACCCCCTCTCCCGCCACTCCCACCCCCTACTCTCAGCCAAAGCAGTGGCATTTCCCTGCAGACTTGCCAAGTTCCATGTCTCTCCCCTTCGTCTCCTTACCCAGCGCTCTTAGCAGCTATTGCAGAAGGACTGCCTCCCAGGAACCCCCACCCCAATCCCAGCAGCCTCCAGAGTCGGTGTTCCCTTCCCTCCATAGACGACACCTCGAGGAGCAAAGGTCCGGGCACAGCCCGGAATTGCGACACTGGGCCCCAGCCTGCTTTCCCAGCCTCTCTCCTCCTCCCTTGCCTCTGGGAAGAGGCCAAGAAGCTCTCCCTGGGCCTCAGCCAAGCTGGTAGAAATCCAGGGGTGGAGAGAGACAGGTGCTGGGCCTTCCAAAGAGTTTCTGAATGTGGGTGCCCTGCGGGGACCGCAGAAAGAAGAGGAGGCCAGGAGAGCCTTTGGTAGGAAATCTGCAATGAGCAATGGCAGGCCTGGGATGGGGGGGAGGGGTTGGCAGGAGGCAGGCAATGCAGGTGCCAGCACAGGATGGACCTGGGAAAGTGTGCAGGCTGCCTCATCTGAGGAACAGCCCTATCTGAAGTGATGGCAGGCTCCCAGCAGCAGCTACTGAGACTGTAGCCATGTTCTTCCCACTCTGCTGCCTGGGGCATGAAATCCATGAAAGTATACATCCTATTTCATTGATTTCATCTCCTCTAAAACCCCTGAAACAGGGCCTGGCATAGAAGAGGCAACAGAGTAGGTATTGTGTTCCTATTTGTTGAATGAATAACAAGAAAAATATTCTCTTCTATCCCCTACTTGTTAGCCCTAGTCAATTTTTTTTTATTCCTTTTTTTTTTTTTGAGGTGGGGCCTCGCTATGTTGCCCAAGCTAGTTTCATACTCCTGGGCTTAAGCCATCCTCCCACCTCAGCCTCCCAAAGTGCTGGGATTACAGGTGCGCACCACCACAACTGCCGGAGTCAATTTCAACTCAGCATGTAGATTTGGCGTTCAGGCTCTGGGCTCAGATTTTGGGTTCAAATCCTAAACCTCTTATTACCTGTGTGATCTTGATTGAGCAAGTTACTTAATATATCTGAATCTTTGTTTCCCTATCTTTAAAATAGGAATATTTGAGCCAGCAATGGTATGTTGAAAAATAAAAAGGCCAGGCATGGTGGCTCGTGCCTGTAATCCCAGGACTTTAGGAGGCCAAGGTGGGCAGATCACTAGAGGTCAGGAGTTTTGAGACCAGCGTGGCCAAAGTAGTGAAAACCCATCTCTACTAAAAATACGTAAATTAGCCAGGCATGGTGGTGCACATCTGTAATCCCAGCTACTCAGGAGGCTGAGGCAGGAGAATCGCTTGAACCTGGGAGGTTGCAATGAGCCAAGATCATGCCACTGGACTCCAGCCTGAGTGACAGAGTGAGACTCCATCTCAAAAAAAATAAAGAAAAATAAATACAATAGGGATAATAGTTATTTTTACCACACAAGGTGGTTGTGAGATTGAAACTATAGATCATGTTGGGTTCAGTGGCTCATGTCTATAATCTGAGCACTTTGGGAGACCAGGGCAGACGGATCACTTGAGGTCAGGAGCTCCAGACCAGCCTGCCTTAACATGGTGAAACCCCATCTCTACTAAAAACCCAAAAAAAATTAGCTGCGTGTTGTGGCACATGCTTGTAATCTCAGCTACTCAGGAGGCTGAGGCAGGAGAACTGCTTGAACCCGGGAGACAAAGGTTGCAATGACCCAAGATCACACCATTGCACTCCAGTGCCTGGGCAACAAGAGCAAAACTCCATCTCAAACAGAGAAAGGGAGAGAGAGAGAAAGAGACAGAGAGAGAGAGAGAGAGAGAAAGCGAGCGCCGGGTGCAGTAGTGGCCCATGCCTGTGATCCCAGCACTTTGGGAGGCTGAGCGCAGTAGTGGCTCATGCCTGTGATCCCAGCACTTTGGGAGGCTGAGACAGGTATATCATGAGGTCAAGAGATCGAAATCATCCTGGCCAACATAGCGAAACCCCGTCTCTACTAAAAATACAAAAAAATTAGCCAGGCATGATGGCGGGTGCCTATAATCACAGCTACTTGGGAGGCTGAGGCAGGAGAATTACTTGAACCCAGGAGGTGGAGGTTGTAGTGAGCTGAGATGGTGCCACTGCACTCCAGCCTGGGTGACAGAGTGAAACTCCATCTAAAAAAAAAAAAAAAAAATTAAAAAAAAAAGAAACTTCATCACAAATTATATCACAATGTAAGTAAGTGTTCGAGAAATGGTACCAGTTATCATCACCCTCCCAGTTCTTTCAGCTGGGGGTCTTCCCATCACTTTAACTCGGTGCATTTTGAACTTTGTACTTGTTTCCATATACAACACAAAACCTTCACTAGTTTTTCTGGTCCTTAGAGCAGCCCCAGGAGGAAAGGAGGGTAATAACCTGAGCTCCACTTGACAGAGGACACTGAAACTCATGTGAGGGCTTTTTCCAAGACCACACAGCTAGTAGCCAGGCTGGGATCAGAACCCAGATGTCCTCACTCCAGTCGTTGTGCTGTGTCAGAGTCCAGGACAATCTTGTCTTGTTGCTTCTTAGGCCAGTGAAGTGCTGGAATGGAAGCAGCCAGGGCTGGTGGGCTACAGGGGAGAGGCTGAGAACCCTGCAGATGCTCCAGTCCAGATGTGGGAGGCGAGGAGTTGAGGTTACTGCTGGTCATTCACCCCCTGCCCCATTCCCAGTTTCCTGCTCATGGGCTCTTCCTGTTTTGCTATGAACTCCAGTTCCCATGGGGCCCACATTAAAGCATTTGAGGACAGGGGGCCAGGGCAGGCAGCCAAAGGGACCAAAACAGATGAACAGGGCACCAGGGAAGAGACCAGAGGAAACAGGGAGAGTGAACAGTGGGTGTGGGGTGGGACAGGAGCCAGATGAGAAAAAGATGAAGGCTGAGGCAGAAGAGGAGCCTGGTGAAAGACGGGGGGAAGCACAGGGTAGGACAGGGGAACAGGCAGGGGCTGGGGAGCAGAGTGTGAGAAGCAGCAGGCCGGGTGGTGTTGCAAAATCTGCCCATGTATTCATTTTCACATTTGAGAAAAGCCCCTGTGACACCCCCATGTCAGACTTCTGCCTCCAGCTTTTGCTGTTGTTCCCCCTCATCACAAGGTCATCCCCTCCCATGGCCCCCACCCTGGTCTGGGTATCTCTGAGTCACAAGCACCAGGCTCTCCTTTCCTCTCGCTTGTGTTCCCTCTTTGATTTTCACAAGGCCCCAGCTGTCCTGGAAAAGCAGAAACCAGGGACTGTAGTCCCTGAGAGACAGGCACTATTCTGTCCCAGCACCCACATCACCAGTCCAGCTCCCTCCTCTACCTCCCAGAAGCTCCAGCCCAGCAGGCAGTCAGAGATGTCCCTGAGATGCCTGGTTTCAGGAAACTCAGGACTCAGTGGGCTGGGGTCTGGTGCCCTATCATCTGAGAGCTGGGAGAAGCCTCTTTCATCCACTTTGTTCAACTCCCTCTCCTGACACCTAGTCTCCCCACAGGTGGCTTTGCAGGATCCAGGGCTATACATGAGTCCCATCTGGAGGTGGAGGGGAGGGGGCAGGCTATGGCCAACTGCTGAAAAAGTAGGTCAGGGCACCAAATCCCCCAAGCCAGGGAGTTGGCCTCAGCCTCATCTCCTGTTTAGGAGGAATTATAAACAGGACTTCAAATGCCAGAGCTGTCCTATTAGGTTACAACTCAGAAACCCCAACCGTCATCCCCACAAAGAGGGAAAAGGAGGAGAAAATGGGAGAAGACCAAAACCTGTTGGCAGTATTTCCACGGAGTTTCTGGAGACCAACCACTGAGACTTGCTTCAAGCCAGGGCAAGCAGTCAGGTGATCAGCAGCTGGAATCACGTTCCCACTTTGCCAGCCCCAGCCCTGTGGCACAGTCCCAACGGGCCGCAGTTGTTAGGTCCAGAGCTCCCCTAGTCCTGTGAGCCCCTTCTGTGTTTCCCTGGCTCCTGTAAGAAGCCATGTCCCTGGGAACACACTTGGGGATCTACGAAGTCACATATCTGGCCCCCCAGAACCTCCACAGGTTTCTTCATGCAGCAAGGGGAAACTTGAAGCAGAAACAGGAGTATTCACCAGCCACGGTCACAGGTACTATATGGCTAATCCCCCTGAAAGCACTCATTCCCATGAAGCAGGCCACAGGGTAAGGTTTGCAGAGCTGGACAAGGGCAACTGCTTCTTGTTCCCTCCTTTACCATTCTGGAAGGGTGGGAAGTGTGGGGATCATCTTACAGACCTACTTGCATATCTACTCAAGTGACTTCTGCCCAACCTTCCAATCACAAGAAAGAATAATCCAGAATTCTGGATTCCCAGTCCTGAGTTCAGAGATTATATGAAAGGTAGAAAGGAAAGAGGTAACATTTATTTCATCTCTACTACCTACGTTTATCTTTACATGTATTATTTCATTTATTCTCACAGTAAACTCTAGGAGATAGTTACTAACAAGGGGCAAATATCAAATCTGAATACAGGTATAAGACTGGGTGTGGTGGCTCACACTTGTAATCCCAGCACTTTGGGAGGATAAGGAGGGCAGATCACTTGAGTCCAGGAGTTTGAGACTAGCCTAGACAATGTGGCAAAACCCCATCTTTACAAAAAAAAAAAAATTAGCCAGGTGTGGTGGCATCTGCCTGTAGCCCCAGCTACTTGGGGGGCTGAGGTGGGAGGATTGTTGGAGCTCAGGAGGTCAAGGCTGCAGGAAGCCATGATTGCACCACTGCACTTAGCCTGGGCGACAGAGGGAAGACTGTCTCAAAAAAAGAAGAAGAATACAATTGTAGCAGAAGTTCGAACTCGAGCTCAAACTCAAACAAACAAAAATCACAAACCTTCCAATTATATAAATCTGCCTCTTCAGATGCCTCTTTTTATGGTCTCAAAAAGAAGAGGAAGAGGAAGAAGAGGATGACAAGCATAGCTGATTCAAAAGTTCGAGCTCAAGCTCAGACAAGCAAAAATCACAAACACTCCGCTACATAAAACCGCCTCTTCAGATGGGAAAAAAATGGCTAATGTGCCTAGATTTAGATTTACTTTCGCCAACACAGGATAAGGTAGTGGTTCCCGTCCTCACCTTCAGAGATTCTGATTTATTTGATTTGGGATGGGCCCATGTATCCATCTATCTCACCA